TTCACACCGATAAGAAGGACTCTACTAGACACAAATTTGTAGACACCTTAGGACTCTTGAACTCTGGCTCTGATACCAAGTTTGTCAAGCCCTGAGCCTACACCCTAGACGTGGGCAACACTCGAAGACCATTGCTGGCCCAAAAGAAACCTTGGTCTGGCTAACTATGAATTACATGACTCGATAAGATACATGGAAGCTTAAATATATGCGCATTTAAAACATTTAAAGAAAAGCTTTAAGACACTATCTTGAAATACCTAACATAATTCATTAGTTTAAATAAACATTTGGAGAAAACAATAGAATTATCTAACTTTGTCTACCTTTGAACCCTCTATTGTTCAAGATAGGATTCAGGAAGAAAAAAAACCCCACAACACCTCAAATATTACTAAAATTGAATATGAAAATGGAGTCCCCCAGAAGCAAGAAGGTCTCACCAAAAGTCTACGATTGCAAAGTGATCTCAATGAAATGCTTGTTGATCTGCATCATAAAAAGATGCAGGTCAAAAGACATCAGTACAAGGACTATACGAGTATGTAATATGGTTGACTAAAATAATAGTTGAACAGATGGCGGAAAGCATATTAAGTAAACAATATATGAACAAGTAGTGAAAACCAGTTGTACTTTACAATAAGATATGCAATAAAAACAATATGAGAATAGAAAACTTTACTCTGTGGGGAGTTTCTGTTACACTCTGAAAATTTCTAATTTAATGTTTATTTGTGTATAAGGTCATGTCGAGTAATTCTTAAATTATACTTTAGTGTTAAGGTCAATTCTTTAGTGTGAAAATAAATTTGGAGATGAATTAAGGACACAAGAAATTCCTATCACAAAGTTGAGTTGAAAGCTTATTTACCGATTTAGTTTTGACATAAAATTCTACTTAGGTCAACTTCAAACGACCATATCTCTTAAATCATAATCAATTAGGTGGCCCATGACCTATCAAATTAAAGGCCTATGAGTCATAATTCCAACTCCACCAAGTTTGTCTTATTCCAAGTTTGGAGTAAAACGTGATGCCCATTTTAGTGAAGCCCTATCAAGCAGTCGATCTTCTACGACTGGACCTACGGATTGTAGAAATTTCGACGAATGGTAGACCCTTCCATGAAGGCTTGCTGCAATATTTTTCAGCAGCTTCCTGCACACGTTCTAGGGCTATTTTTGTCCTTTCCCAAGCTTTTTAACCTATTTTAAGTCATTTTTGAGTGCTTTAACTGAGTATATCACTACTTCCTCTCAAAATCATCAATCTAAGCATTCAACTATCTAAAATTTCCCTTAAAACTCACCTAGGTTCCTCTTCTCCATCAAGAACCCTAAAACCTTCGAGTAAAAGATTAAGGATACAAAGAGAAACCTTCCATTCAAGGTTTTCCCAAGATCTTCCACTCTAGAAACTCCATAAAACAATTTCTTTTATCAAGTTCAAGCATCAAGATTCCTACACCAAAGATTTCATCCAAGTAAGGTATTTCTTAATCGGGCTCAAGAAAAATCAAGTCTCCACCAAAGTTTTCAATTTAATAGCTTCATAATCAGGTATGTAAGGCTATTCATAGTGATGGACTGAGTTCATCCTCAGGCCCTACATCTCAATTCAGTCGGTAAAAGTTTAATCTAGGGTTATAACCTTAGTTTCGAGAATTCTTGATATGAGTTAAGTTATTGATTTTGAATTCTAAATTCTTTATATGAATTAAGTTATTGATTCTGAGTCTTAAATTCCTGGATTTTGAGCATTCTTGAGATGAATAGTATCGTTGAGTTCTAAGTTCTTGATTTCTGAGTATTGAGTTTTCTGTAATGTTATTGAGATTCTTGAGTTGATTTGTTCATGTCTATATTTAAGCATGAACCCTATTTTGAGTTATTATTGAGAATCTTTTTTAACCAAACAATGGTTTCAAACTAATTTTCTGAGAAAGAAAAGTTGAATTTTGAGAAGAGTTTTATACATGATTCAGAAAGATTATAAGGGAACTAAGTATTCCCAAATGTATCAATTTTACATTGAGAAAAGAGAAACTTTGATTTCTAAAAAGAGTTTATGAGTTTAGAGATATTTCAAAGCAGTTACCTCTTTTAAGAGGTCATTTTGAGTAATTACCTCAAAACAAAGAAAGAGTATGTTTTATACATTTGAGCATGATTATATTATTGGGAGTAGTATTAAGCACCAATATGTGTATGAGTTCACACAACTCAAAATCCTTATAAACCATGTCTGCCAACATAGGTGAAAGATCATACTTTTTAGATAAATCCTTATCGCTTAGTGGATCCACTTAAATGAGAGTGTCTATACCCCGGCACAGAATAGGACAGTTCTGGCAGCGTGGGCAAGAAGTTGTATCATCATGTAGCTCATAGTGATGGTTGTCGGTTAGAGAATTTCCCAAGTAGAGTTAAGGTGTATTTTTACTATATCAGTTATTATGCTGAGTTTCAGAGATGAGTAAGTATTTTATAAAGTTTAAATAATTTTATTCCTTTAATTCTTTACATTTAGTTAAGCTTATGCTATATCTATTGTAGTCCTTTCATTCAGTTATTTGATTCGGCTATATTATATACTCATATATTCAATGTATTGATGTCATTCGACCTGCATCTTTTAATGATACATATACAGGCACTTAGGATCCTCAACTAAAGTCTGTTAAGATCACTTCATCCGCTCGTTAGCTTTTGAGTGTGGCCTCCTCACTTTCGAAGGACTCCAGTTTTGTGAGTTATTAGTATTTGTTTTTAATAAGTCATGGGTCTTATCCCAACACTTATCTTTATATAGTAGAGGCTTCATGGATAAACAATTTTGGAGAGTCTTTCATTTTCATAGGTTTTCTTTAAAATTTATGATTAATACTCAGTATATTCAAAAAAATTTGAGATTTAATACACTATTGATTTAGCATTTCTTTCAGTTTGATGCTTATTTATGCTTGAGTTAGTTTTTTGCTTGTAGTCAGCTAAGATGAGGGTTTGCTTGGGGACCAGCAATGATTCTCGAGTGTTGATCACGTTCACGGTGTAGGCTCGGGTCTTGACAATTTCTCTAACCGACAACCATTACTATGAGCCTAGCAATGATACAATATTTCACCCATGTGCAAGGGTCATCCTATACCTTATTGGGGTATAGGATGCTATTGTAACTATGAATCCATCTAATAGGCCTTCTCAAAGTTAGTGATGAGTAACACAACAAATCGGTGAGATCCTATCCTATGTTGGCTACGTAGTTTTATGATGATTGGAGGTTTTACCCCGACATCCATCGTAGTACTTAGAGGCTTCATAGACAGTAGAGTTTTGAGAAGTCTGTTTCCTTTTCAATTGTTAATGTTCTAGACTTGAGTTGCCTCTTTTGGCCAGTTGAATGTTCTTAAATATTCTGAGTTATTTACTTTGAGACTTTTGAGAAACCTTTATTTTTGAGTTCATATATTGATGAGTGAGTCTTCCCGTTGAGTACTGAGTCAGGCCAAGGGCTCGCTTGGGGACCAACAATGGTTCTCAAGTGTCAGTTACGTCCAGGGTGTAGGCTCGGGGTGTGACAATATCTTACCTTCATGTACTTCTTTTTTGTTACATGTTAGTTAATTCACAAAAAATATGATGAAGAAGAGAAATGATAATGTTGAATGTGAATCTTCATGAAACTAAATATGAATTATATAGGCAAAATAGAGGGAACGAAAAAATAAAAAGTTGAGAATGAAATGAAATGTTTCTTACCTTCATATACTTCTTTTTTGTTACTTGTTAGTTCATTCACAAACCAATTTGATGAATAAGAGAAAGGATAATCTTGAATGTGAACCTTCATGAAACTAAATATGAATTTATAGGCAAAATAAAGGAATACCATAAGACATTATAAACTTACAACTTTAAGTTTGGAGGTTATGGACATAAAAATTATGGGAGTTATGAATATGATTAAAAGTAAAAAATTAAAGAGGTGCAGGTCATGAGTAATAAATCCCTGTGAATTAATTAATTAATAAAGAGAAAAATACTTAAAATATAAAATAATATTTTCATTTTATGGTTAGAAGTGAGGCAAACAATGAAAAAAGAGAATGTGAAGAGTTTTTGTTGTAAATATTCTTCAATTAATAAAATATTTATTTGTAATAAATTATGTAATTTACTTTTACAATACAATAACTAATTTAAATAAGAAAAAAGGCCAAAAAAATGAGAAAAAATATAAAGGCAAATGGAGGCCATAGAGAGGTATCACATCACCTTGTCTATCTTTCTCCTTTATCTATATATATATATATATTTGTTGTAGTCAACTTTACTTAGTGTCCTATATGAAGTTTTTGGCATAATCATTATAAAACAATTTGCACTTTATTTGGCAAATGATTATTTTGTAAACCTTTTCAAATTGTGTTTTAATTTATGACATTTGGTTTTTGCCTTGTTCTTCGTCCATTTTTATTTCCTTGAGAATTGATATTGTTTCTTGCATTTATTTTGTTCTCTCATGAAAAATTAATGGAGAGTCAATCATATAACGTATTGAAGAGAGGCTATTATTTCTTATTTTTGTTCTTGCTACAGACCAACAACATTAACAAGATCCCTTGATTCTCCGGCTCTTCAAGTGCAAAGGCGTTGAATGATTTGTAGGTGAAAACTGTTCAACTACAGTTCTCCAATCTCTTAAATATTTTATTTTATTTATTGTGGTCAATATTTTTCAGTCTTCCTATATTGTATTTTTGACACAATTATTTAAAAGATCATTTTCACTTTATTTCCCAAATGATTTTCTTGTGAACCTTTTCAAGAATTTAATTTTACCATTTTCATAAAATTTTCTTAGTTAAAAATTGATAGTAATGTTTTAAATGATTTGTCTTTTTTTTTGTTAAATGACAAGACCAGGTTGATTTGTTAAATAAACGAATCTATATACATTGTACTTAGCCTAAAGTGTTAAACCGATGAAAATTTGAAGAAAAAAAAAAGAAGCTAAAACAAACCAAAGAAACCAAGAGGCAAACAGAGATCGAAAAAGAAATAAAAAAGTTGTAAGGACAAAGGTCCTTCTAGCTTTTGGAAACATCTTCTCCTTGACCCCTCTTTCTTCAGTGAGCTAATGGAGCTCCAAATCGAGTTTGAGCTCCCAACTGGGCATGAAGCTTCTCCCCCGATTGACACTACTAACTCAGCATCAGCGGGCTATAAAGGATCTTTTCAAGCTCAATTCGATGTATAACTCTGAGTCTATCTATTCTTTTTAACAAGGTTGATGCTGATCTTTCTCCTTTTGCAGGTCTCTAGGTGAACGAACACTCAAATAAAGGTATCTTCTATCAACAAGTGTAAGTTATACCTTTTTTCTTAGATCTATTCATGGTGGGTTGAATCCACAAAGAGATTGATACCACCACCTGAGCTTAGATCTTTATAAGGTATTGACTCATTAAACTTGTTTCAGATTTGACACAAGAGACATTCATGTAATCAACCTGACATCTACCTCGAACATAAAACTAATTGATCCAATTCACATCAGGTACACAATCTTTATGATACTAGTGCTGGACACGTGTGATGCACGTGTGTCCTGTGTTAATTTTTACAGACTTATTCTAATGATTTATAACATTCTATGAAACACATTCATGTAATGAGCAGTAAAAAACGTAATTATGGAACATATAATTAAATTCATTTTGAAAAATATTCTAAGTGTTTAAATATGTTGGTGACCAAAGGTAGTGAATACAAAAAGTGTGTTATAACACAAATGTTAATTTAGAGAAAACTGATTGAGAATGTGAAATAAATGCACATTTATAAGCATGATCAAAAGTAATACAATAAAATAAAAACAGAAACCAATTGACACTTACATACCAACCTTTAATAAAGCTTCGGATTTTGTGAAACTATGTCAAATGTCAAATAAAAATAAAAAGATAACTTAAACTTTCGTACAATCAAATCTGCAACCATCTTTCTTTTCGTTTTCTTAGCTACTCTCTTAATAATGGCATTGATGGAGAAAAAAAATGCTCTATAAATAATTTTAATTTTCACGTCCTTGGATAATCTTTTTATTTACGAACATTTAAGAATAAGTAAATAAAAGAGAAATCAATTATCTTTTTACACATAGAAGAAATAACTCAATTATTTTTTAATATTAAATCTAAAATTTTACATGCTAGGATAATAATATATATGTGTCTAAATTTTTCTAAAAAAGATATATGTATAAAAATTGTGCGTTAAAACACACTGTGTTGAAAATCTTAAAATTACCATTTTTCGGTGCGGAACTGGTAGTTGAGGAATTCATGGAAGTGATAGTGTGGTAGGTGGTAGTGTGGTAGGTGAGTAATTTATTTTGAAGATTTTATTATAATATTTTTTTGCTAAGTGTCTTAATCTTGATATCTCTTTAATAAAATTTTTTGGGAGTGCGGAATTCATGGTAAAATGTAATAATATTTATTGTAATATTCTTCCGATAGTTGTTTTAATCTGAATATTTCTTTAATATTATTTATGATATATTCTAGATATAACATATCTTGGGTTCTTTGGTACATATATAAATTTTCCTCCATTAATTGTTCTAATAGTTTTATATCTTCCATAGATTCTATCCATTATTATAAATATTCATAGTTCATTTTAATCTGAATTTATTTCTAAATCGTACCATTCTATTCTTTCATTATCTAAATATAGATCATGTAAATATATTTCATACCATTCTTGATTTAATATATCTACTGATTCGTAGTCAAATAAATTTTCCCATATGATTCTTCTTAATTCAATTATCTAGGATGGCATAGTATAGAAGTTTTCTCCCTGTTTCCAGTGTGCTAATAAACTAGAAATCATGATTCAAATAATTCTAATACATAATAACTAACATAAATTTATTCAATCATATATATGATATTCAGGAATATATGAAATTAGTTCTGCATATTTATTGAACAATATACATTTGCTTCTTGCTTATTCATGATATCTGAAATATCTGATTGGATTTCAGATTGCTCCATTGTTTATAGTAACTTAATATTTTATTGAGAATTTTTTTGTGTACAAAGAAAGCTTGTTTTCCGTCGAGAAAGTCTTGCCTTAGATATGTCTTATGGCTTGTTATTTATACTAGTAAAGTTTTTCCACTTCTTTTTACATGTGTCCTTATACTATTTACTTTATACTATTCCTACTTTACACTTGTCTCCTACTTTATGACTTTACATCTTTACATTTGTCTTATGCTATTTACTTTATACTATTTCTATATTATTCCTACTTTACACTTGTCTTTTATTTTACGACTTTACATCTTCTCTACTTTACAATAAGTCTACAAACAAACAACTTTACATGACTTTTGTGTCTACAAACAAACAACTTTACATGACTTTTGTGTCTACAAACAAACAACTTTACATGACTTTTGTTGTTATCTTCTTTTTCTTTTATCTTTTTCCATGCTTATCTCCTTTGTCCTTTGGATTATTCTAGCTGGACATCTGGTATCACATTATCTTTTCCGTTGCATTTTGAACATATATGATCTGGATATTTGTGTCCAATTAGTTTACAATATCTGGTTAATAGTTCATTTGAGATGAATCCTTCTTAATGCTCTAGTAATAGGTTGTTCTTCCGGTTTGAGTAGAGATAATATCCATTTTTGTACTTCGTCCATATCTGCTTGCCTTAGCTCTCTTGAGTTTGAATATATCATAAGTTGGTCTCGTGAATAATAACTCCATATTGCATTCCCATTTAGATAATTATTTGCTAGTTCTTGGATAATTGTTGACATACCAATTATTCTCTTATTAGCATAAAAACTTGGTATCTCAATTTCTTGTATTTCCGGTTGTTGTCCGATATCTTCTAGAATTATCATATCTCTGGTTAATCCTATTTTTACAACTTGTATTATTGGTTTTATTTCATCGTATAGTATCTCTGCCAGGGCCGCATAAAACTTTACATAAAATAGATTGCCTTTTATTATTCTTTTATAGGTTATGAATGCTCTGTGTATCTCTGGTATACCACTTAGTTCTTCTCCATCGTATGTATAAACTGTACTTAATAATCCATAATTGTAACAGGTTTTGACTAAATTTGCTTTAGTTTTTGGTTGAGCTATCAACTTATTATACCCTTGTAATTTTTGGGTTATATAATCTTGGGTTGGTTCTTTAGTGGTGTCAGATCTGGGATTAAGATTCAAATATGTTTGGATTTTGTGTATATTCCTAATAGAGGTTTGTGTGATATGGTTATAAATTTTTTTGTCTTTGTTTAGGCTCTCTGCATAAGTTGAGGTTTGTGGTGATATAACCAAGGGGTCTTTTGGTATTTTTGGTGTAAATGGTTTTTCAAACATTTTGTTTAGATTAGTACTCGTATATTGTTTCTTAACTTTTTTTCTTGTACCTGCAGCTACATTGAAACAACCATTATGGGTTTTTTGGAGTATCCCAACGTCTCCTTCTAGCTCTGGATATTTAGTGTCTTCCGATCGACATATCTCTACATGTTTATAGTCATGCGACTGACTTATATCTTTAGACTTTAGTTTTTGTATCTCATTGTCCATACTATCCACTTTTGGTACAAAGTGTAGTAATGGCTTTGAGTATATCTTCAATTGTATTTTCTTTCTCAGTCTGAGTAGTTTTGTCTTGATAACTAATCTGCAATAACATTCTTATCAGTTTTTATTACTTCAATAGTAAATGTAAAATTTAATATATTTAATACCAATCTTCTCATTTCTTTTGTAGTTACTGAATCCTGTTATTTTTCTTGTTAGCCACCTATTTTACTTGTGTGTTATCTGTCCTTAATAATAAATTTGTTATATACAATATATGGTTCAAAATGATAGTAAACATTTATACACTGAATATAATTATTTTTCTATTTATTTTCCATTTCATTTCCGTGTTAGTAAATGTTCCTGAGTAATATCTACAATGATGTTCTATTTTTTCTTCATCATATCTGTATTTTTAAGACTCCTCCATAACTCTTTTCACTGGTGTCTGATTCTACTATATAAGTAATTTTTTTGTTTTCATCCGGAAAATATAGTTTAGGTAGGTTCTTACATAATAGTTTTACTCTTTTTTTTGCGTTTGGTCTTTTTTAAAACTGGTATTCTATGTCTTTCTTTAATTTTTGTTGTAATGGTTTTAAATTCTCTGCTAATTTTGGTATATATTCTCTTACTTGATTCACTAATCCTAGAAATGATTGTAATTTCTTTTTCGTATCTAGTTGTTCATTTGAGTTAATTATTTTTTGTACTATATGTGTTTGCATTTTTATTCC